CAAATGGTATGGTTTTCTTATGCTATTATTTATATATCTGACAGAAGGAGAGAGTCATACTTTCAACTCCCAAAAGTTCTAGGAAATTACTGCTGATTTCAAGGTACTATAGATAAGAAAACTGAAAATGGTAATAAACCATTTTTGATTCTAATATTCCCATTGGTAAGAACATTGGTAAAAATCCATTCAAAGAATGTAACCTAAAATACTGCCAGGAAGATTCTTCCCAGTTAAATATACATCTCTCACAATAAAGCAATAAGGACAGAGCTGGCACAGAATGGATTCTGAATAAATATTAGCTTCTCCTTTCTTTCTTTTTGTTTTTTTTAATAGAGTCTCACTTTGTCACCCAGGCCGGAGTGCAGTGGCACAATCATAGCTCACCTCCAGCCTTGAACTCATGGGCTCAAACGATTCTCCTGCCTCAGCCTCCTGAGTCGCTGGAACTACAGGCATGTGCCACCATGGCTGGCTAATTTTTTATCCTTTTTTAGAGACAGGGTCCTGTTCTATTGCCCAGGCTGCTCTTGAACTCCTGGAATAATTTTTCTTGATATACAGACACAGTAGTGAAAATGACAGACCAAGTCCCTACCCTCATGGTGCTGACGATCTAGTAGGGAAGAGACAGCATGACAAATAAACATACACAAATATAAAATGCCAAGTAGTAAATAAATACTATGAAAAATAAAGGCAATCAAAGAAACTAGAATGATAAGGACTGTTATCTGAGGGGTTCTCAAGGACAGCTTCTCTAAAGTGTGGGATTTGAGCAGAGTCCTGAATGAAGCAGCCAGGCAAGACTCAGAAATATCCAGGGAAAGGCTGCAGACACAAGAGATAGCAATTATCAAAGAATTATGATCCTCCCCTTAAAGGGCTCCCAGGCAAGTTACTTTCATTTATTTTTTCAAACTTAAAAGACAGAGGTAATTCCCACATAATATCAACTGCTCTTAGGCACAGAAAAAGATGGAAAGCTATGCAGTTCATAATTCTGACAACAAATCTAGGTAAAAGTATTACAAAACACCCAACCCACATACTCACTCTCTCTCTCTCTCCCTTTCTCTCTCTCTCTCTCCAGATTAATAGTACCAATAAGTACAGATGCAAAAACCTATTATCAAACTAAATTCAAAGGCATTTAAAATTCTTGTATAGTTATATTTTTCAAGCTTTAGATTTCCAGCTAAGAGAAACCACCAGCTAATTGGTGGTCTGCAACCAACATGTAAGAGAAAAAGAATAGGAAAAAACAACAACAACAAAAAACTAAGTATATTGCACATAGTAAGATTAAGTAATGTTTCATGAAACTTTTGTTTCACTCTCATACATATACACATACTTTGAATGGATCACAACACAAAAATTATCTTTTTACTATGATGGTAGTCAAAAATATTTGGAAGACAATGCTATACAATAGGGCTTTTCCCTGAAATGCAAGAATCATATATACCTCATATCAAGATATGAGATGTATATCACATCAGTAGCTTAAAGGAAATAACTATCTCAACAGATTAAATAAAAAACTATTCAGTTAATTCCAATAAATATCCCTAATTAAAAAACCAAAATAACAAAAATACCAACTTCTTTCCTTCTAAATATCATCAAACCTCCTTAAAAACCCTTTCTTTACATTATAAAGAATATTTATCTTGAACCAACAGCAAACATCATACCTACTGAGGAAAATCAAGCTTCAGAACCACCTACATACTCATGACTCAAATTTAGATCTCCACCCCTACCGTCTTCTCTGACCTCAGACTGGAATATCCAACTACCTACTGGACAGTTCCATTTGGATGTCTAAAAGACATCTCAAACTTCGCATGCCCAAACAAAAGCTCTGATAATGACCCTTCTGCCTCCACTCTACTCCTCTTTGTGATCTTCCCTATCAGTAAGTGCATTCATCATTCCAGTGTCTCCAGCAGAAAACCTTGCAACCACCCTTCACTCCTCTACCATATCTTCTACCCAACAGTCAGCATATTCCATACACCCCACCTTTAAAATATTTCCAGAATCAAACCATTCTTATCACTTCCACTGTTGTTAATAATACCTGGATCCAAGCCATCTTCAAGTCTGGCCAGAATTATTGCAAAAGACTTTTAATTGGACTCTCTGCTTCCACCCATGCTCCCTTAGGAGTACTCTGAATACAGCAGTAAGAGTATGCTGTGAGAGTGAGCCGTTTAAAAGTAAACTTAGATTGAGTTACTGCTCTGCTCAAATCCTCTGAGGCTTTGCATCTCACTCTAAGTAAAAAACAATATCCTTACTACAACCTAATCGTCAGTTTCTCTCTCTCTCTCTTTGTCTGCTCTAGCCACAATGCCTATGGTAGTCCTCAAACATGCCAGATACACTCTTGAGAGGCTTTGCATCTACTGTTCCTTCTGCTTGCAATGCTCTTCTTTCAGTCACTTTCTTTGGACCATGATTCCAAAGTCACGTTTTCAAGAGAAGCCCACATGAGATACCCTTATCTAAAATTTTAAAATCCTAGCTCTACTACTATGTACACTCCCTTCGTCCAATATTTTTTTTTCAAGTTAGCATGTCTATCTGAAACACATTTTTTTTTTGAGACAGAGTCTCGCTCTGTTGCCCAGGCTAGAGTGAGTGCTGTGGCGTCAGCCTAGCTCACAGCAACCTCAAACTCCTGGGCTTGAGCAATCCTCCTGCCTCAGCCTCCCGAGTAGCTGGGACTACAGGCATGCGCCACCATGCCCGGCTGATTTTCTCTATATATATTAGTTGGCCAATTAATTTCTTTCTATTTGTAGTAGAGACGGGGTCTCACTCTAGCTCAGGCTGGTTTCGAACTCCTGACCTCGAGTAATCAGCCTGCCTCAGCCTCCCAGAGTGCTAGGATTACAGGCGTGAGCCACTGGGGTGTTTCAGCCAGGCCTGAAATACATTTTTAACTTATTTTATATTGTTTTCTCCTGTCTCCAGATATGCAGTCTTCTTGCTTATAATCTATCTGTATACCACCCACACGTCTGTCCCACAGAGGCAGGGATTGTTGTCTACTTTGTTGACAAAGCTACCCCTGTTACCTAAAGCAGTGCCTGGTATACAGTAAGCACTCAATAAATATTTGCTGAATGAATGAATGATCATGAATCCCTGATGAAAAATACAACCACTCACCCAAGAATACATGTATATATGCATATACACATAATATTCTGCATACAATTTCTGGAAGTTCACAAAATCTTGAAGCCCATTGTTAGCTATATGAGGGTTTCCTGATGTTAAAAACCTCTTCACAAGGCCAGGCGCGGCGGCTCACGCCTGTAATCCTAGCACTCTGGGAGGCTGAGGCAGGCGGATTGCTCAAGGTCAGGAGTTCGAAACCAGCCTGAGCGAGACCCCGTCTCTACTAAAAATAGCAAGAAACTAATTTACCAACTAAAAATATATATACAAAAAATTAGCCGGGCATGGTGGCACATGCCGGTAGTCCCAGTTACTCGGGAAGCTGAGGCAGAAGGATTGCTTGAGCCCAGGAGTTTGAGGTTGCTGTGAGCTGGGCTGACGCCACGGCACTCATTCTAGCCTGAGCAACAAAGTGAGACTCTGTCTCAAAAAAAAACCTCTGCACAAAAGGATTTTCTATTTAAAGAAAATCAAGTCAAGATTGTTATTATGTAAAACTACTCAGGAATGTCCTGTCAAAATAAAATACATAATTCTATGTTCTCCTGTATCAGAATAGTTTCCGTTATGTATTTAATACTTTTCTCAGAACTTTTTGAGCATGTATTTCTTCAAAGATATTTTAGCCTTTTCTAACTCAGAAGAGAAAAATACCTCTTGTTCCTATAAAATCTCAAGCCCTTTTCTTCCTTTGTACTTGCTTACTGTCCCTCGCCCAAGAATACTTTTTGTCCCAGATATCTTCACAACTTGTTCTCTTACTTCATTCAATTTCTATTCAAATGTCACCTCCTCAGAGAGGCCTTCCCTGACCAACCTATCTAAAATAGCCACACATACACACACCCAACCATCACTCTGTCCCCCTACCAAAGTACATACATATTTATTTGTATATATCTATCTTCCCAACTAGAAAGTAAGCTATTTGAGGACAACTTTGGGTTTTATTCACAATACTTCCCCACAGTTAAGAACAGTTTTTGTCACACAGTAGGCATACAGGATGTGTATATGCGTGTACTCTGTGATGGAATAGTACGAAAGGGACACAGTATTAAAGGAGGTGCCACGCCGGGTGCGGTGGCTCACACCTGTAATCCTAGTACTCTGGGAGGCTGAGGCAGGAGGATCCCTTCAAGGTCAGGAGTTTGAAACCAGTCTGAGCAAGAGCAAGAACCCATCTCTACCAAAAATAGAAAGAAGTTAATTGGACAGCTAAAAATATATAGAAAAAATTAGCCAGGCATGGTGGTGCCTGTAGTCCCAGCTACTCGGGAGGCTGAGGCAGGAGGATCGCTTGAGTCCACGAGTTTGAGGTTGCTGTGAGCTAGGCTGATGGCACGGCACTCTAGCCCAGACAACATAGTGAGACTCTGTCTCAAAAAAAAGAAAAAAAAAAAAAAGGAGGTGCCAACTCACGTAAGACCATCAAAAAGATTTTTTTACTTTTACTAGATTTGGTGTGATACGCTGAATTACTAAGTCAAAGGATGAACGGAAAAAAGAAGGGCACTACAGAGGGAATGAAAGAAAAATAACATGGAAAGAAGAAAGTTTGTTTTGGACACAATAAATGTATGTGCTATTAGTATTTAGCAGAAGCCACACTTTCTGTGTTTGCATTCAAACTTTTGCCACTCAAGAATCAAACCTTGGGTGATCCCACAGCCAGGTGCCTATATTCTCTCTCCTCAGCTATTTTTCCTTTTTGGGGAAAAAGCTAAATTAGAATTAGGGCTTTATAAAGCAACAGATTCTAAGAAAATACATAATGTTTCATTTCTTTACTTTCTTACCTGAAATGTTATGAATATGAGTTAATTTCTCTTTAGATTTTCTTTTAAAAGTGCTATGAACCAAAGGAGTTCCCAATGTTCTAAGATAAAATGAAGATAAAATATCAAAATTCCTGATTTTATGATTTTTCAGAAAATATTATAGTAAGAAGTCATTTTAAAAAGCTTTACTTGTATGCACATGTATACTTGAAAAGAATTACTTTGAAATGAAAATTAAAACAGAAATTGATTGGAAATATAGCAGTCCTTCACTAAACATTCTTCAGAAGGCCAAACATTTTTTACAATGTGTGGTAAATTCTACCAAGTTGCTGCACTGACAGAAAAGCACTTGAAAAGGGATCAAAATTGTAAAAAATGATTGAAAACTAAATAGCTTTCGTAGTACACTGCATCTTTTAAAAGGTCCAGTGTGCATTATCTTCTTATCCTCAACTTTCATTAAACTTTATTAATCTCAAAAGATTTTTTTAGTTAGAATTGATTTGAAAATCAAAGTCTAAATCCATGAAAACTACACTAAGTAATTCCACATTTGTGAGATTCTACTCAACCGTATTCAGCCATAAACGTAGCTAGTTGCTACTTGAAAACATATACACAGAAACATGGGTCTCATTTCATAGGCTCTTGAGTATACATAATAGATCATGACAGTCATATAATTTATTATGGTATTAAATACTATGATAGGTTAAACATACCAAATAAGCACATTCCAAATTTGTCTTTAATTTAAATTTAAGTCATGCCCTCTCTTGTGCATAATTACTTCTTACCACAAGTCCTAAAGTAACATATTTTATAGCTCCTCCTTAGCGAAAAGCTCTGCTCCTTGACCTCCACCACTTTCAGCAAATGAAAGAAACCTCACTACAATGCTATCACACGTGTTTGTTTTTGAAACATGTGAGGTAGTCAACATGAAACATGAAAGAAGAGAGCATTTTAGTTTTTGACAAATATTAAGGTATTTATGTGTGCCTCTGTAAAATGGAATAGGCAACATTAATAGAAAATCAGAAAGAACTTTTACCTTATAATGATGGACAAGTGGAGAAAACCAATCAACAATGCAAGTGGCCTTCAATTATACTTAGGAGTCTTCTGGAGAAGCAGGCTGAAAGTCAGGTATCTTAAATCACACAAGGAATCTGTGACAAAAAAGCAAAGCAAGTTCTGAGGGCCTCACAGCTGACACAGAATGGATTTGTGGTATGTTCTAAAATACTAATAGGCGCTGTGAAAATTACTTCAAAGTCTCTATTCCGACAGGCTTATGCCATAATATAATGATACAGTTTAATTGTTTTTAACAACATCAGAATATAGCCTAACTAAGCGTTTCTGCAATGGAGGACAGGAGTTTGGCTCTGGCTCTCACCTTGTGAAGCTCCCAGCAGTATTTCACCTGCAGCGCTACTCCATTTTGAAAAGTTTAGCATAAATCAGTCAGATTTTTATAAAATAAAACATTTTCCCATTGATTGACTATAATTTGAAATGTCTTTTAATAATTTCTAACATCTTCAATTGGCAGATTTTGTTTATTCATCACATGTACATTCAGTCAACAATTACTTATTGAATACCTACTATTTGCCAGGCATTCTTACAGGAGTTGGGGATACAGCAATAAACACAATGAACAAAAACTCTTGCCTTCTACTTTCTTATTCTTTTAGGTGTCGTGATTCCTCCTTAGTTGTGATGAAACCCTAATTGTCTCCCCAAATCTACCCCCTCTTCTTTCAAATAATCAAAGTTTTAGCTGGGCACATGGCCACACAGCTAGCTGCTAAATAACACAGACCTGGAGCTCTCAGCCATGTGACTAAGCTCTGAACCAAGGGGTGGGGGCAAAGCTGGTGAGGGCAATGGCTCACATGCTTGCAAGAAAGCTGCTTATTGTCTACCTCCTCTTGCCTCCTTCACTCAGGCCACAAGTCAGACGTGGTTGTCAGCAAGCTTCAGCTACACAGACGACCCCGAGGAGATAGTAAAAAAAGGAAAAAAAAGGGAAGGAACCTTCATCCCTGGATGAAGGTGGATGCCTGTGGAGCAACGAAGCCCTGAACTGAAAACCAGTTCAAACCTGGGAGAAAATTAACTTTCTAGCATGGTCACTGTGATTTGGTCCCTATAAAATAGCTGAACCAACAGCTATTTTATGTGTGATAGTCCATTCATCATCTTGTATATTATTTATAGCACCTATCAAACTGACAAAAATGTTTAAGTTTGATAATACTCAATGCTGGTAAGTGTGCAGAGACACAGGCACTTTAACACACTGCTGGATGAATTATAAATTAGTGTAAACATTTTACAAGTAATTTGGGAATATTTATAATAAAATTTTCAACATCTATTTCTGGAAATTTACTTTATGGACATAGTTGGGAAATTTTGGCAATATTTATTTGTAAGAATGTCGTTAAAGTATCATTTGTAACAGCAAAAAACTGGATAAAATAAAGGTCCATAAATAGGAAACTTATTATGCACACAATGGAAAACAATTCTTTGCAGGCATATGAAAAAGAACATGACAGACCTCTTTGCATCTTTAAAGACATCCATGCTATAGTTTTATCAATGGAAAAGTAAGTTACAGAACATTATATGTGATAAAATATCCTGTACAAAATGAATTTTATAAGGGTATTTATGTTTGTTTATACTTTGACATTTCTGGAAGGACAAAACTAAAACTATTAATAGAAGTTCCACAAGAAAACAATTACAGGGAAGGGGGCTTCAGTGTCTCCTTATATGCTTTTGTGAACTGCTTGAATTAAACCCTATGCATATATTTATTTGAAAATTTTTAAATGTCAAGAGAATTGTCTGAATAGTAGAATTGTTATTATTATATTGTTTTCTTTTTTTTTTTTTTTGAGACAGAGTCTCGCTCTGTTGCTCAGGCTAGAGTGAGTGCTGTGGTGTCAGCCTAGCTCACAGCAACCTCAATCTCCTGGGCTCAGGCAATCCTTCTGCCTCAGCCACCCGAGTAGCTGGGACTACAGGCATGCGCCACCATGCCCGGCTAATTTTTTCTATATCTATTAGTTGGCCAATTAATTTATTTCTATTTTTAGTAGAGACGGGGTCTCGCTCTTGCTCAGGCTGGTTTCGAACTCCTGAGCTGAAGCAATCCGCCCGCCTCGGCCTCCCAGAGTGCTAGGATTACAGGTGTGAGCCACCGCGCCCAGCCTGTTACTATTATATTGTTTTCTATATTATAAACTCAGATAAATCGTTTTAAAACTAGTTGATTACTCTCTGAAATTAAACTCCTATTTAGAATGTTAACACTAGCCAGCTACACACATATATCTCAACTTTAGTTTCATTTCTATTTTATAGAAAGAGCCATTGGGGGAAAAAAAGTTGAAGTAATGTACTTTTTCTGCTAGGTAGCCCTTTATTTTTAGTTTTATGCTTTAAAACCTTTCCCTTAAATCTGATCACTTAGCAACTTACTTTTATCCCAACCAATTATGCTTCATGCCAAGAGAGAAAATAAATGGTGACCACATGATAGCAATATAATCGATTAAAAAAATAAAATATTCCAATAACTTGTCCTATGTTCATGATGCCTAACATATCATTTGAGTGACATTTTCACTACTATGGGCATTTGATTTGACAGCATATAGACATAAGCAATTTCATGAATATGTAAGTTGTAGCTACAAATGGTAGAAAAGATTAAGAATGAAACTAATTTACCTGCAAGTACTGCTAACAAAGGTTAGAGCATCAGTATACAGAGTGCTGACCTACAAAGGCATCGATGACTAAGTTCTGACACTCAAGATGCTCACCCTAAGAAAGATCGTTCAACTGATTGTATTTACCACTTTGATACAGAAGGAAACTAGTTTAAACTACTCAAGATCAATTTCACATCACACCAATATTAGAGTCAGATCTTGAAGTGCAGATCCCTTGCAGGAACATGACAAGGGACAGCAAGACGATTTAACTAAGTGAGAGAATCTCTATTGTGCAGACAGAAACATAAAACGAATCCATTTCACTCTCCCAAAAGGTATTTTTCTCAACCAGGAGTCAGCAAACCTTTTCTGAAAACAGTTAGACAGTAAAATTTTAGGCTTTGCAGGCCACGTTCAATCTCTGCACTGGATATTTCATATATCATTCACTATTTCATGTATCATACACTATGTGAGTTCTGTGTCTGGTTTCTTTCCCTGAGCCTAATGTTTTCAAGGTTCATCATGTTGGATGTACCTGTAGTTTGTTACTTTTCTATTGCTAAATAGTATTGCATTGGATATGCAGCACATTCTTAAAGTGGAAAATTTGTTAAGCTTTGACATATGTATACACTTATGAAATCATCACCAGGTCAGGATAACAAACATATCAATTACTCCCAAAATTCATCATGCCCCTTTGAAATTCCTCCTTCCTGCCCTTCCCCACACACTTTTGTCCCCAAGGCAACCACTGGTTTGCTTTTTGTCGCTATACATTACTTCACACTTATCAGAATTGTACATAAATGGAATCATACAAGATATACTCTTTTCCAACTTCTTTCACTTGGCATAATTATTTTGAAATCCATCAATATTGTGTGTATCAAGAGTTTCGTTTTGTTTGTATCACTAAAGAATATTTTTGTTTATACATTTATCCGTGATGAACATTTGGAATCTTTCCACTTTTTGGCTATTACAAATAAATCTCATATGAACACTTGCTTACAAAATCTTTGTATGGCCACATGTTTTTATTTCTCCTGGGTAAATTATCTAAAAGTGGAATAGCAGGATCATATTACAGTAGGTGGATACTCAATTTAAGAAACTGCCAAATGGTTTGCCATGGGGGTTGCATCATTTAACACGCTCACAGACACTATCAGTAGTGTTCCAGTCCCTCCACACCCTCACAACACTTTATGGCCAGTCTTTTTAATTTTATCCATTCCAGTAGATGTGTAGCGATAGCTCAGTGTGGTTCTCATCTGCATGTCCTAACAACTGAAGATGATGGGCCCCTTCTCATGTGTGTGTCATCTGCATATCTTCTTGGTGAAATGTGGTCAAATCTTTTGCCGATTTTTAAATTGTATAGCTTTATTATGGAGTTTTTAAATTTTTATATATTCTAGATTAATCCAATATATGATTTTCAAATATTCTTTCCCAGTCTGTAATTTGTTTTTTTGTTCCCTTGACAGCATCTTTTAAAGAGGAAAAGCTTTTAAGTTTTATAAAGGGCAATTTCTTTTATGGATCATGCTTTTGGTGTCATACCTAAGAAACCATTCTCTAATATAGCTTTTTTCTTCTATAAGTTTTATAATTTTAGGCTTTACATTCAGGTCTTTGATACATTTTGAATTAGTCATTATATATGGCTTGAAGTACAGGTCCACGCTCATTTTATTACATACAGATATCCAATTGTTCCAGTACCACCTGTTGAAAAGACTATTATTTTGTCTGCTAAAAATGCCTTTGCACCTTGTTAAAAATTAGTATGTTTTGCCTTTTTTTGGATTCTCTATTCCATTAATTGTTTTATCTCTTTTGATGTCTACACCACATTGTCTAAATTACTGTGGCTTTATAAATCTTGAAATCAGGTAGACCTCCAACTTTGTTCTTTTTCAAAACTGTTTTGGTTATTGTAGATCCTTCACACTTCTATATGAATTTTAATTATCTATTTATTCTTTTACACAGTTCCAGGTGTACTATGTATATGAATTTTAGAATCAATTAGTCAATTTCTACCCCAAAAAAGCTGACTGGGGCTTGATTGAGTTTGCAATGAAATCTAGAGATTACTCTGGGGAAAACTGACATTTTTAACAATATTGAGTCTACTGGTTCATGAATAAGGGACATCTCATCATTTATTTAGATTTTTAATTTCTCTTAAAAATGTTTTGACTTTTTCAGTGTGTGGATCTTTCACCTTTTTTGTCAGATTTATCCCTAAGTATTTAATATTTTTAATATTATTATAAATGGCATTTGTTTTTAATTTCAATTTCTAATTGTTCATTGCTGTTATACAGAAATATAACTGGCTTTTGTATATTGAACTTGTATATTCAACCTTACTTCTTTGTTCTACTAGCTAGAGCATGTAATCTGTGAATAAT